CCCATACAGATATCCTTTAGCAGGCCACAGATATCGACTCCAGTTCCTTCTGGAAAGCCTGATGCATGGCTGGGTGTGTTATCATGTCTTATCACGATGAAGAACGATGGGCATTATAGACATTGTAAGCCAAGGTCATTATCTCATCAGCGGCTCCTATAAGATTAAATTTACGACAAGTAATAGCATGAGAAAATCTTTGGAGTAGGACGGTAGGATCGAACTAGCGTCCTTGCCCAGACGCACTATAAGAGATCGGGCTTCTATATAGCTATGGGCGCGCGCGTTACTGGTGACCCCCAGTACGCTGGTTCTATAGTCTCCTTCTCCAAAGATTTTTTTATAGATACACCACGTAATTGTGATTTCATCATGCATGTAATACTAAGATTAACTCTGTCAAAAGTTCTTTATATAAAGACAAACAAAGGGACGCAAGTATCATTAACATTCAGGCAACGCAGGCTTTCTCCGCACCTAAAACTGTTAGTTTAAGTTGGTCAGGGATTCTTTGTAAACTTTTTATAACACGCTTCTAACTTAGCATTCTCAATGATATTGGGGGAGAGGACACACTAGGATGTGTTTGTTTACAGTTACTGGGATCAGCTATCACTCTCATACTGGGATAGTCTACTTCCTGCCTCATACTGGGATGGTCTTCTTCCTCCCTTATATTTGGATGTTCTGCTTCCTCTCTCATACTAACTACCTACCTAATACTGATTGTTCTACTCCCAAACTCATACTAGTTATCTCCCTCATCCTGGGGGATGGTATACTATCACTCTCATACTAGCTACATATCTCATACTTTAATGTTCTGCTTCTCTCACATAATATATCTTTCTCTCATAATATAATGTTCTACTCCTGCTCCAATATTAACTCTCTTCCTCATACTGGGGTGTCTTTCTCATTCTCTCATAATGGGATGCTCTACTCCTTCCTTCATACTGGGTTGACTTCCTTCCTCATACTGAAATGCTTCATTCCCTCATACTGGATATCTTCATAATACTGGGATAATTGACTTCCTCCTTCACGACCATAAGGTCGAAATGACAGACTATTCGTGACAATATTTTGATCATTACACACGTGATTTTTATCCTATTGTCCTGTCTTTAATTATATTTTCATAAGTATGTGAAGAGCTAGTGAGTGGAAGGCATAAGTATGTGAAGAGCTAGTGAGTGGAAGGCATAAGTATGAGCTAGTCAGAGTGAAACCTGGATACACAGGGCTAGATATATTATACCTAGTTCGCCAGCAAAGGAGCCCAGGTGGGGACCTCACAAGCCCACTGTATTACAAAACATAAATGAGGTCATTACAAAAAGGTATCCAAAATATTCTCCAGTGACAGCTCTTTGATGTTTCCTCTGACTGTTTCATGCCTGGAACACCAAAGCTAAATGTGTTTGTGCAATTATTTTTCTCTGAATCTTCCCTATAGCAGTCAGCAGACGAGCCCAGGCACAGTCTTGCTCGTTACTGTCACCTAAAACTCCGCAGGAAACTCCTTTTCATGGAGTTCTGATAATTATGGTCAATTGCTATGAACACATATGTGAATGCAATTTTGAATTACATGCTAATTGACTTCTTTGAGCTGGATGTGAATTCTTCTGGTTTTAAATTTACTGTAGTTAGCTCGTTAAATACAGGACTTCGCTAAAGAGAGACCAAAGGTGTGCTACCACGCACACTCACACACTAAACTTACTTACTACCACACACACACACACATATACACACTAACAGATAAATATTCACACTAACACACCCATATACACACTGACACACACATATACATACTAACACACATATACACACTAACACACACATATACACACTGACACACATATATATATACACACTGACACACACATATATATACACACTGACATACACATATATATACACACTAACACACACATATACACACTAACACACACATATCTACGGGGCCTCGTAGCCTAGTGGATAGCGCGCAGGACTCGTAATTCTGTGGCGCGGGTTCGATTCCCGCACGAGGCAGAAACAAATGGGCAAAGTTTCTTTCACCCTAAGTGCCCCTGTTACCTAGCAGTAAATAGGTACCTGGGAGTTAGTCAGCTGTCACGGGCTGCTTCCTGGGGTGTGTGTGTGTGGTGTGGGGGAAAAAAAAAAAGTAGTTAGTAAACAGTTGAGAAGCGGGCCGAAAGAGCAAAGCTCAACCCCCGCAAAAACACAACTAGTAAACATATACACACTAACACACACATATACACACTAACACACACCTATACAAACTAACACACACATATACACACTAACACACACACACATACAATACCCGTACACAAGTCAGAACATCATTGAGGATGTTCTGACGTTTGTTCATTGATGTTCTGGATGTTGTATTATTCATTATTAACATGACAGATATTGATTGATAAGCTTAGATAAGGTAGTTGGTCGGGTTAGATTACGTGATTGGTTTGGATAGAGTAGATAGTTGGTTAGATTAGAATAGCTAAAGTTAAGCTATTTACTTAGTTAAGTTATAAAGTTAGGTTATTACAATTGGTTAGACAAGATTCAGTCATAATATTTCAGTTGGTTAGGATAGGCCAGGATAGGTTCTGCGAGGCTAGGCTAGTATGTCCATGAAATTCTCTCACCACTTGGGGCGAAAAGGAAAGATCCTGATACGAGTTTGTTGTTCAAATTTATATGCATAATTTTTCATACATAAAAACTCTTCTCTTATATTATTTACTTAGTTTCCAAACTTTCAGGAACATTATTTATTCATTCTTGATAATGCTACTTAAACCTAACCTGATTATTATAATAATATATTAAATACTAAATAATACAAATGCAAGGCTCATTATGAAATGATTATATTGGCATATTTAAATATATTGACATGGGCTCCACTCTGAGACACTTGAAGACAAAATCAGATTATACTAAGTGAAGTTTATCCCGTTGCTTCTTCTTCCTATCTTCTGAGTGCTTAGTCATACCTATATAAAGCCTTATAGATTACTTAATTGCTCTAAACACCGAGTGGTGTGCCCCAGTTGCTGTGTAAATACACTGAGAGTATATTTTAGCTCTGGACTATGTCGAGAACTAAGGTGTACTTGCTGGTTGGACAGTAAACACCTGAGGCAGCCTTAAAAACCATCCTGAGTTCGACAACCACTAGTTAAACCCAACACCAAAATCCCATTTCATTCAAATATTCAATTCGTATATTCATATTCACTCATATTCAGCCTTTCATCATTATGCACTTTCCATTTTCTTCAGTTCCTCTATCCTCGATCTTCTCCTATTCCAAAAACGGAAATGAGGTAAACAACATAGCCATGTTGTGTTTAATGTCTGAATGTATTTCCACACCTAATAAGCACGTAAGAAGATTTTAATTTACATTTCACTTGGGTACAAGATGAAGATTATTCCCCTTGTGTTGATGTTTTGCTCTGCTCGCTGCCTCTCTCTCTCCCTCAAGAGGAGAAACACAGCCAAGGCTTTGTTAACCGGGTGTCTGAATTTAAATTGGTATTTACACCCCAAATATCACCAAATGAATTGCAACAGTGTACCGGGTTAAAAATACGAGACTAGAGGACCTTCCTAAACATAGTATAATGATTGTTAAATGTTAGTTGCTTAGGCTAGGTTAAAGTGTAGTCGTTACCTATGATGAAGGTCAGGCCTGGGCTAGTTCAAGTTAGACTTGATAAATCAGTAGTTTTTGCGTAAGTCAAGTTAGACTACACAAATGGGTAGTTTTTGTCTAAGAATGAATATTAAACTTGTACTATACATGAAGGACTATTGAGGTAGTTGACGAAACTTCTATAGAACGAGTTCATAAGCAGCCATCAGACTAGAGACCATTCAGCAGAGACACCTGGATCAGCCGCAGCCACATTACCCCTCATGACGCAGCAGACATATTGACTCAATGACGAAGCAGACATATCTCTCCATTACACAGCTTAGCACAGCAGACATATTACCCTCGTCATTCAACAGACATATTGCCCCGTCATATAACATGCATATTGCCCCATCATATAGCAGTCTCATTACTCCGCCACACAGCAGAAATATAGCCCCTTTACATAGCAGACATATATTCCCATCAAGCAAAAAATATGGTCCCATCACGTAGCAGACATATTGCTTAATCACACAGCAGAAATATAGCCCCAACAAGCAGACGTATAACTACATCGTGTAGCAGAGATATGACTCCATCACACAACAGACATATAAGCTCCATCAAGCAGACATATAGCCCCCATCGCACAAGAGACACAGACCCATCACACAGCAGACATAACCAGCAGACATATTGACCCATCACACAGCAGTTATACAAACCCATCAAGCATATATATAACCCCATCATGCAGCAGACATATTGCCCCATCATGCAGCAGACATATTGCCCCATCCAGCAGATACATGGCGCCTCATCACGCCCAGCAGACGAGGGAGAGCAGGATGAGAGAGCAGATAACTGAGGTCGACCCCACGCTAATATGTTTCGACATGTGCAAATTCTCTGCCTCTTTCCGCTAACTTCCTCCGGCAAAGTCGCCTACAATATTTTCACCCACAGCGTTTCACATATAAGCTTCAACTCTCTACAATGCTAGAACACGATATAATGAGACCCTGGAACAGTTTCTGGGGAGTGGACACTTATTGTGACATTTGAGTATACGCTCCATCATAAAAATAATATATTCATCTCACGAATGATCGTCAGGGGGGTGAGAGTAAGTGAGAATGAACAGAAGAAAGTGGTCAAGTAAATGCTCTCAAATACAGATGGGATTACAAATAAAGTAAGCGAACTTTGGGAAAGGTCACAAGAATCAAACCCAGATGTAAAAATCCTCATAGAAACAGAATCATAACGAAGGCAATGTTTCCGCAGGGCTACTATGTAGTAAGGAACGAGAGGGAACGATGGGGTCGCCATGGGTTCTCCCCTAGGTGTCCTGTTTGCGAGCTTCTACATTGGTACCATAGAGCAGAGGGTCTTAGTTGTCATAGACTTAAAACCTGCGATATACTGCAGGTATGTTGACGACATTTTTATGCAGGTACCTGATGTCAGACGTTTGCAGCAGCTGAAGGAAACATTCGAGCAAAATCCGGTGTTCAGTTTCACTTACGAGAAGGAGAGTGATGGGAAGCTGCCCTTTCTTGATGTAACAGTCGTGGAAAGGAATTAAGGCTTCCACACTGCAGTCTATTCTAAGGAAACGAACATAGGAATGTGCCTTAATGCTAATAGTGACTGCTCGGACAGGTACAAGCAGAGTGTTATCAACGCTTACGTCGACTGGGCTCTCACTCACAGCTATGGTTGGAGGCAGGTCGACGAGGAACACAGTAGCATAAGTCAGGTCCTAGTCAACAATGGCTTCTCTAACGGTTATGTTGAAGACGTCTTTTAAAGAAAGGTGACACGACATGCAACCTCTGAAGAATCAACTAACACAACACTGTACCTCCAATTAAATTGTTTTACAGGAACTTCTTTTCAACGACTCATAAAACGGAGGAAAGAGTCCTGAAATATATAATTGACAGGAACGTTATCCCCACAGATACAAATCAAAAGATACAATTGACAATTTACTACAAAAACAAGAAGACCACCAACCTACTTATGAAGAACTCTCCAGACACCAAACAGAACGCCTTATAAGAAACCAACGTCGTCTATGCCTTCACATGCCCACTTGGGGACTGTCAGCCCCAAAGATCTCAGTATACAAGACAACAACGTCTCTATCTAGGTGATTAACAATGCACAAGCAACAGGGCTCCATCAAAGAGCACATAATCTCCTCTCACAACCAGACCATCACCATTGAAACCTTAACCAGCAATACTGATATAATCGACAGATATAACGACAATAGAAGACTGGACATCAGCGAGGCCCTACATATCAAAAAGTGAAGACCAGCAATCAACAACCAATTAACACATAATTACATTCTACCCACTTCAAGATCCCGAACCACCACATAGAGAGGAGGAGCAAGAACATAGGCATTTAATGGCCAATTAATAATAATCATTATGCCATTCATCCACTTGTTCATCTCAATAACATCCTGTACCACCTCACCCCAAGCGAATATATGAGTTGTCAGGACATGGCAAATTTGTCTTTGAAAAGTCCTTGCGAAACGCATCTTTAGACGTCAGGCCATAAATTGTGAAAATTAAATTTGGAGAGTTAATTTTTCAATTTCCCTCGACAGTGAAGAAAAACATAAGAAATATTGAGAAGATTCGTGTTAGAATCATCAATCTTACTAAATCTTTTATATTCTACCCATCTACCTAACCCAATTTCGTTTTAATTCCTATTTGAATCTAAATTTGTTTAATTTTAAATTCATTGCTACATTCTTTATCTTGAAACTTTGAGCACCTTGTTCTCATCCCCTTTATAATTTTATTACATCCATTTGTAAACAATTATTTCTCCCCTCGTTCTACGCCAAGGGTTCTAAACATTTTTACGATTACAGATTCCAAATGGAATACCCATTAGGTCCTCATACACCCCTTCCCCAGCCTTTCAAAATCATCAGTATTATAACCAGTCCTATTAGGTACTACTAGCATGACTAGCATGACTTCATGCTATTATAACCAGTCCTATTAGGTACTACTAGCATGACTAGCATGACTTCATGCTATTATAACCAGTCCTATTAGGTACTACTAGCATGACTTCATGCTATTATAACCAGTCCTATTAGGAACTACTAGCATGACTTCATGCTATTATAACCAGTCCTATTAGGTACTACTAGCATGACTTCATGCTATTATAACCAGTCCTATTAGGAACTACTAGCATGACTTCATGCTATTATAACCAGTCCTATTAGGAACTACTAGCATGACTTCATGCTATTATAACCAGTCCTATTAGGTACTACTAGCATGACTTCATGCTATTATAACCAGTCCTATTAGGAACTACTAGCATGACTTCATGCTATTATAACCAGTCCTATTAGGTACTACTAGCATGACTTCATGCTATTATAACCTATCCTAATAGGTACTATTACTACTAGCATGACTTTAGAAGATACCAATAGCTTGGTATCTTGTTTATTTTACATATGGATAGCTGGGAATAGAATATACGAAATAAATTCATTCCAATTTTTACATATTTACATGAAAATGGCAAATCACAAATAAAGAAGTTAGCTACAAATGGTTAGATTTTTGCTTTTGTTTTTGTGTAATTAAATTATGGAATCGAGGTGTAGTTACTGACAGTGATAGTTATAATTCTATTATAACAACACCTTTTTTTTTAATTGATTAAGTCCCATACCACTATTACCTGGTCCCAAAATTCCAAAAGGTATGGAAACTTTAGGTAAAAAAAAAACCTTGTTCTCCATCTTTCAACAAAATTGGTTTCTAAAGGATTACTTCTGATGCTGGGAATTAGATTCAATGTTTCGACCCTTTATATTTTGTTTTAGAATAGAACAATTTAAAGGCAAAGCTGTACACTAAATCGTGAAAACTTTCGGAAAGAAAACAAAAATCAAAGTTCAAAATGAAGTTCCATAGACGGGCTCTACATACATTGCTGGGGCCAGATTCACGAAGCAGTTACGCAAGCACTTACAAACCAGGGGCCAGATTCACTAAGCAGTTACGCAAGCACTTACGAACCTGTACATCTTTCCTCAATCTTTGACTGCTTTGGTTACATTTAATAAACAGTTTACAAGCATGAAAACTTCCTAATCAACTGTCGTTATTGTTATAAACAGCCTCCTGGTGCTTCGGAGCTCATTAACTGTTTAATAATTGTAAACAAAGCCGCCAAAGATTGAGAAAAGATGTACAGGTTCGTAAGTGCTTGCGTAACTGCTTCGTGAATCTGGTAACCAAATGTAATGTTTTCCAAACTGAATCATCTGATGTAATGGAGAAACGAAATATCTGTTGAATCAGAAAAGATTGTAGAACGTCTTGCAAAGCTATCTTAGCAGCGTTTGATAATTGACGTTTATAAGACACCTTTTCATTCCATTTTGGTACTTATTAAAAAATACCATACATTAATAGCTAATTAAATTTGCTACTGTCCTTTGCTTGACAGTGATAAAACGTTCCTCACTATCCTTGTCATCAGCTATAATGCAAGTGAAGGGATGGCTGGCATCACATATGTTGCCCCATCTTTTATGTTGTCTTCATTACCTTGCAAAACACACCAAAATCAGATTTTGTAGGTTCTAATTGGCCCATCAAAAAATATATCACAAGAGGGTGCACGAATAGAAGACTGTTGACTACCGTTAACAGGCTGATACCATTCTGTTTATATAGCAAATTATAAACTCTAATAGTTCCCCAGGGCCATGCTAACCACTCTGTCTGTCTGTCTGTCTGTCTGTCTGTCTGTCTGTCTGTCTGTCTGTCTGTCTGTCTGTCTGTCTGTCTGTCTGTCTCTCTGTCTCTCTGTTTGTCTGTCTGTCTGTCTATGTGTCTGTCTGTCTGTCTGTCTGTCTGTCTGTCTGTCTGTCTGTCTGTCTGTCTGTCTGTCTGTCTCTCTGTCTCTCTCTCTCTCTCTCTCTCTCTCTCTGTCTCTCTCTCTCTCTCTCTCTCTCTCTCTCTCTCTCTCTCTCTCTCTCTCTCTCTCTCTCTCTCTCTCTCTCTCTCTCTCCTGCCTACATCATCATTATCGAGATTGCACTCCTCTTTGGTGAGTAGTGACTAGTTCCCATGTACGCCGCCGCTCGGCTCGTCCCCGATCAAGAGATTAGCCTGATTAAAGAGACGATTTAAAGCCCTGCTTGATTAACTTCCGGTGTAATGGCTGACGTCGGCCTTAAATCTTCCGGGTAAAATTCCTTAATTGGGCGTGTGATAACACGTGCAGAGTGCATACATCTACATACGCGGCTCCTATACCATCCTGTCCTCACACTGAATGCACCGCATTGTTCACGCTACACTCCAGCCTCGAATACAGGTGTTTTAGTGAAATTAAAAACCCCTGTGTATTGACGCTTCGATCTAACCTATTGGTCTCCATAGGTTAGATAGGTTGCTTAGAAGCGAATAATTCTGGTTAGGTGAAAACCACTTTAAACTTGAAACTTGTCCAATAGTGAGAACGGGCTGGCTGTACAGGGAAAATGGGAACACATGGGTGCTCTCTCTCTAGCGTTTATGTGTTCCAAGTTTGCTCTAGTCAATGAACCAACCTCGAGAAAATACACTAGAGTAGTATTGGAACATATATACATACTAGAGCAATCCTAGAACACATACTAGTCAGAGCACCTGGGATGCTCAACCTCCCCATACGTGTACAGGGATGAGAACACTTACACAAAAATAAACAACGGTATTTAGTAGATACATAAATATATCGAAGAAGTAGAAAAAACATTTTTCTGTTGAAGAGAGACAGACAAGTTGCGTTAAACAACATGTCAGTGTCCCCGACAGCCATTTCATACAAGATACTGCAGAAAATATGCATTTGGAGACTCGAGGGACGTTAGCAACAACTCATGACCGGAAAACCACTGGTTAAGGGAACGAAAATGGTGACTAACAGATCACACTGAGTCCAATGAGAACTGTAGAAGAGGAGAGATGAGCAAGTTAGGAGAGGAAGTCTCTATTCCGTCCCGTGTGAGCTATCCTGTGTTAGTTGTGGGAGGGCAGTCACGAGGAAAGGAGTATGTGGGGTGGGTATGTGTGGGGGTGGGCATGTGTGGGGTGGGTATGTGTGGGGTGGGCATGTGTGTGGGTGGGCATGTGTGTGGGGTGGGCATGTGTGGGGGTGGGCATGTGTGGGGTGGGCATGTGTGTGGGTGGGCATGTGTGGGGTGGGCATGTGTGGGGTGGGCATGTGTGGGGGTGGGCATGTGTGGGGTGGGCATGTGTGGGGTAGGCATGTGTGTAGTGGGCATGTGTGAAGTGGGCATGTGTGTGGGGTGGGCATGTGTAGGGGTGGGCATGTGTGGGGTGGGTATGTGTGAGGTGGCCATGTGTGTGGTGGGTATGTGTGTGGTAGGCATGTGTGGGGTGGGCATGTGTGGGGTGTGCACATGTGGGGGTGTGCACGTATGGGGTGGGCATGTGTGGGGTGGGTATGTGTGGGGGTGGATATGTGTGGAGGGTGTGCATGTGAGGGGTGGGTATGTGTGTGGGGGGTGTGCATGTGTGGGGTGGGCATGTGTGAGGGTGGGCATGTCTAGGTGATACAAATCCACATGTTCCAGATATACATATACAAATGGAAGAACATGTGTATGCAGAAGTACACATATACCACCCCACCTCCCATC